GGGGCGAAGTATCAAAGACCCACCCAGCTCTGCTGGGGGGTGAGATGAGAGGGCCACCCATCACCCCAGCACCCTGGTGGGTCTGACAATAAAGTGGGCTGCCAACCAGGTCCTTGTCCCCAGGTTTTCCATCTGCCTGGGGAAGACAGACCTTTGGGACTCTCCATCCCCAGGGTTGCCCCTCCCCTGGTGTCAGGAAGAACCTGAAGGGCCAGAAAACCCAGGGCAAAGGCGGGAGGTAGGAAAGGATGCCAGGCTACTCTCTTTGGTAGCTACTCTGGTTGGTCCTGGTTCCGGAGATCCGACCTGCTGGGTCTGGAAGGGTGAGTCTGGGAGGATGGGGTGGAGCCGGTTTCTGTTCTCTTGGTTTCAGTTCACAGGTGGGATTAGTCAGACAGACCGATTGATGGCCAGACCTGAGGAGCTAGCTGAGAACCTGAGCCAACCTGGGGACCGGAGTCCTCACCCAGGCTGGGCATGGCTGACAGGCAGTGGAACGAGTGGTCTGAAGCATGAAGGGTTCAAGTGTGAGGGATGGGACCCCAGCCTAACCCCTGCTCCCCATCTGCCCTTCAGAAAGCTTTGATTTAGTCCAGTAGCCTGAGGGATGGTGTGGGGGCTATTCCTTGGTGCTATTCTGCCTTCCCCCTCCTCCCACCCACAGGGCTACAGAATCCCGGCAGTGGGTAGGGGTTGGGGAGTTGGGGATGTTGATGCAAGCTTGCTGAGGTGAGGAACCAGATGATCTTTAAACTTTGAGCCCTGGTCAGCTCTGCTACCATAGGGGAACCTCACCGTCTCCACCTGTGGCAGAAAGTAGGCAGCATCCAGGGTGGCAGGATGGGGATAGAGTGGGGGAGGTATGGCAGCCTCTACACACAGCCTGTTTTCCAGGGGAATTCTGGGAGAGAAAGCAGAGCCAACAGCCCTGGGCTGGAGCCAGGAATGTCCAGGAGCATGTAGCGGTTGAGTAGGGGAGGTGGTGGCCAGGGGCAAAGGAACCAGGCAGGCTCCTCCTCAAAGCTGGGCAGAAAACTTCCCAAACAGGGTTGGGGGTCAAGAGACAAGGGGAAGAAGTTGTTGATTGGCTCAGTCACAGATGCAAAGCTAGCACTGAAAGTTTTGACCTCCCACTAAACAGCCCCTGAGCTTCACTAGAGGGCCTGGGACCCAACATGGGCTCCTGTGCCTCCCTCAGTCCTGGCACCTTTAGCTTGCATGGCCACGGAGCCCTTCATAGGCCAGATGCTGGAGTAAGATGGTGAAAAAAACCAGGTCCAGGGCTTGCCCTCTGGGAACTTATAGTCGAGGAGGGGAGACAAAGTTAAAGGGCCACCAAACTAAATACAAAACCACAGCTGAGATGGCTGGTAGCAGGCAGAAGTCATTGTGGTTTGTAAGTGTATAACAGGACTCTGACTTTGCAAAGGCAATCAAGGAAGGCTTCCCTGAGGAGGTGACCAGTGAGCTGGATTGTCAGAGTGATGATCATTTGTGAAGCCCTTGAGAGCAGAGGCTGATTTATCTTTGGGCTTTCAGGGTCCAGCACTGAGCCTGGCACAGAGTAGGTGTTTCTTCGATATTTGTTGATTGAATGGATGAACAAGCACTGAGTCCTTGTCCTGGAAGAGCTCCACAACACTTGGAGAAAAAGACCTGGGAACCCCAGGGAAGCAGGGAGACCGAGGACAGGCTGCGGGATTCTCAAAGCAGTCTCCCAAAAGTGAGCATCCTTCAGAACCCAGGTGACATCCTTTCTTACACACATACACACTCCCTTTTTGTCCCTTTGGAAAACATCCAGGGATGGTAGAATTTACTGTCTGTTCATTCATTTCTTGTTAGCATGAGGATCCTGAGAGAGGGTATAGGGAAAACATAGTGTGGGCTGGAGGGTGGCATCACAGGGTTCTGAAATGGGCCAAACAAAGCAGGTTTGTAGATTTGTGTCAGTAATGATCCCTCTGGCAGCTCTTGGAGGAGGATAGATGGCAGAGGCAGAGGGAGGCAGGCAAGGCTAGAGGCCAGTAAGGAGGCGGCTGTGGTCATGGTTCAGCTGAAAGAGGGAGTGGTCCGTAGCTGTGCAGGTGGAGCAGAGGGGTGGTCAAGGCTGATGGTCTCTGAGTTTGTGTTCTCATGCCCCTGCCTTCAGGAAGCCTTCCCTGATTTCCTTGCCCTTCATCCAGGGCCTCCCTCCATTTTGCTGGTGGTCTTGGAGCTCCATTCTGGACAAGAATTTGGCACTCCAAACTCCAAAATCATCAGTGCTGGCAGGTATCTTATGCTCAATAGAGGTTTGGCATGTTGGGAAACTGAGGCCTAGAGAGAGGGAATGATGAAGTCATGTAGTGAGTGTGAGTGGGCGGCAGAACCAGAGCTAAAGTCCAAGGCTTCTGCTTCCCTGCCATGCTGGGTTCTCCCAGCTTTGCTCCCCTTCCAGCAGGGAGGAGGCTCCCCCAGCACTGGCTGCCAAGGCCCAGGAAAACACATTTTTTCCCTCTGTCCTCACAGAGGAAGCAGAATGGCTCAGCAGCCAGAGAGGAGCCCATGCCAGTGGGTGGGCCGTCTACAGGACGTCTCTGGAGCAGACTAGGGGGGCCAGGGAAGGAGTGTAGGGGGGCTTGTGGCTGCTGACTGGGCCAGGCAGATGTCAGTCCCCCAAAAGTAGATTCATTCTCCATGCCTCCAAAACAGTGTCAGGAACCTGCAGACCCTGGAGGGCAGCTCTGTGGTGGGGTAGGGGGTGGGAGGATATGGTAGCTGGCGCTGAAGAAAGACCCCTAAGCTGGGAGTCAGGATTCTTGGGTTCCAGCCCACCACTGCCACCAAACAGCTGCTTGGTTGCCTCGGTTACAGAACAAGGGCGTTGGATCAACTGCTGTCTCAGGCCCAGCATTCTCCAGACTGGCTGAGGCAGGCCGGCCGAGGACCCAGGCCTCTTGGCTTACAATCCAGCAGCCCCTGGCAGGGTTGGAGGCTGAGGGCCTGAGCTTATCAGAAAGTTTTCTCTGCTTGTGCCTTGCCCTCTGGGATTGTCTGACTCTGCTGAGCTAGGACATTCCTGGGCGAACATGGCACCTTGGCTGACATCCAGGGTGCGGTTGAGGGGGCTGAGGCGAGAGCAGGAGGAGAAGGAGGAAAAGAGGGAAGAACAGGTTCAAAGTGTCTGCAGGGCCTAAAAATACTTAGAATCACAGCCAGCTGAATGGATGGGATGTTTAGCCATTGTGCAGAATAGGGGATGGCCAAAAGTTCCCCCCTGTTGGCCTGCTGTGGAGGGCAGTGGTGAGGAGGAATCAGAGGCTGTATGTAAGCTCGGGGGAAGATGGTGCTGCCCTTGATTAGAGATGCCTATGGTGGGAGTGTGGGAGGGAAGTAAGGTGAGCCTGTTCTGGTCTACTTCTCTGGTATTTTACGCACAAATACTATTGTGATTGTCCCCACCTTACAAGTAAGGAAACCAAAGCTTAGTGAGGAAAAGTGACTTTTATGAGAGCCAGGCCATGCCTCCGAGCCTCTGCGTCACCCGGTGCCCAACAGGCTCTCAGTGCACCTTCACAAGGAGAGGCTTCCCCTTGCCCATCAGGTCTCTGTGTGGCCGGACTGCCTGGGTGTCACCTCACAGCCCTGCTCCCTGAACAGCCGGCGAGGGGGCCTGGGCATGTTCCTCACAGACCTAACACAAATCCTGGCACGTCAGAGCTGGGCAGCCTTGGAGACTGACAAGTCCAACCTCATCTTCAAGGGTTAGGGAAATGGGGCCCAGAGAGGGTGCCCTGTCAGGGCCACATTGGGAGGAGTCCACTCATGACAGAAATGTCAGAAACTCCATCCATCCATACCTCACCAGTGCCTCCCCCTTGCCAGGCCCTGTGCAGGTGCCCAAAGCTGCCTGGCCTGGTTGCTGCTTTCCGAGCTCCCTGTCTGGCAGGGAGACAATAAGGACACTGACCATGACAACTCAGGGCAGGAGTGCTCGGGTGGGTGGTGCCTAACAAGCCCTAGAGGACAGGGAGGGCTTCCTGTAGGAGGAGATGTCTGTGCCCAGGGCAGGAGGATGAGTAGGAGTCTGCCTGATAAGTGGAGGAGAAGTGTTATGGTCGGGGTAGGGGGAGAATGGGGGGGAATGGGGTGGGGGGTGTAGCCTAGAGACAAGAAAGCTTGGAGTGGAAGGAAGTGAAAGAAATTCTCCATGGCTGGATTGCCGAATGGAGGTAGGCAGTGATGGTTAATGAGCCTGGGGTGCCATGCAAGTGGGCCTGGACCGTGCCCAGGATATTAGGGAGCCATGGAGGGTTTGCATCTGGGCGGTGATGTAGTCAGAGGCACAGGGTGGGAAGATCCTCCAGTTGCAAGTGGAGGATAGGTGGAGGCTGGCAGGGAGGTGTGCTGGGTCCTCCCCAGGTGTGTGCTGTGGGGAAAGGTGACCACTTAAGAGGCCTATATTGACAAATACATTGGTGGGGTATGAGGGTCTCCAGGTAGTGTCCATGAAAGGTCAGGGTCCAGACTTGGGACATCCTGGGCCTCATTTTCCCCCTACACCTCAGGAGGCCTGGGTGGCTCTGAAGACCCTCCCAGCCCGAAGGCCACAGTGACTATCTCTGTCCTGGGACCCCATGAAGGGCCGACTTTACTGTTCCACTCCTTGCTTCCATCTGGGGTGTCAGAGCCCCGGCTGTGTGGCCAGGAGAAGCAGGGAGGATTCCTGAGAAGCCCTGGACTGCCTCCCCCTCTGCCTGAGTCACGCTGAGAATTTACCCACCTTGACTTGAGCATCTACTGTGTGCCAGGCAGTGCTCGAGGCCTGGAGATGCAGCAGAGGACAAGACCTCTGCTTTGTCATTCTTGTGCAGAGACAGACACTGAGCAAACCTACAAACACGTGTGGCTTATTATATGTAGTGAAGTGCTAAGGAGAAACATGTGGTGGGAAAGGAAACAGCGTGCGTGGGGGCGGGTGGGCGTGGGGAGTGGGAATCCTAAATTGAGTAAGAACAGGACATTTGAAGAGAGGCCTGAAAGAGATAAGGAAGCAAACTTCACGGCCATCTAGAGGAAGAGAGTGCCAGGCGAAGGGAACTGCCAGTGCAAAGGCCCTGGGGAGGAGCCCACATGTGAGGAACAGCAAGGAGGAGGGTGTGGCTGGAGCAGAGTGAGGGCAGGGGAGTGAAGATGGAACTAACGTCAGAGAGACGTGTCTGGGGCTACATCACGGAGCACCTGTGTGCCCTGTGATGACGGGCTTTTTATTCTGGGTAAGATGGGAGCCATGAGAAGGTCTTGAGGGAGGAGGAACATGATCTGACTTAACACATCCCGCGTCACCCATGGGGAAACTGAGTCACAGAGAGGCTAACTGATTTTTCAGAATCAGAGCTAGTGAGCAGAATGAGTGCCAAAAGGCCCCAGGTGTGTCTGGCAGCAAAGTCCACGCACTTTTCGTTTCTCCAGTGTCCCAAGAGACACCTAGGGCATGCTGGCATGTGTCAGAGGCTGAGCTGAGGCTTTGGGTCAGCCCCACAGATAGCTCAAGGAATCAGGATGGGCCGAGATGAACCCCTGCTGCTCTCTACAACCTGAGTGTTGCTCATGAGGATTGAGAGGACCCTGCATCTCAGATCACACAGCATCTTCCTGCCCGGCCCTCCTTCCTCACCGCTTCTGCCTGCCTCCCCACGGGGATTCTCAGATGAGGAAACTCAGGCTAACAATGAACAGCGAGATGATCAGATGAGCTGGGGATGGAGGGGACTTCTGCTTCAGAGGGGGCTTTGGTCTCCTCCCCAGCCCAGAGCAATGACCGTCAGCCCCCAGAATACACCCTCATGTCTCCCCAATGCCAAGCTCATGTCTGACAAATAGTAGATGCTCAAGAAATACTTGTTGAATGAACCTGGAGCTTGCAGGCCCATGGAAGGAAGCATTGGGGGTCTGTGGCCCCTCATCAGTCTAGGTATGACTGTCCTGTCTGCCTGGGGCAGTGCTGGGCAGCCCCCAGGTGGGGGAAGCTTTCCCAAAACAGGTCTGGATGAGGGAGGCTTAGGTGGGGGAGGGGAAGGGACTGATTATGTTGTATTTTGATAGGGTGCTGGTTGCACTCTGTGACAAGTCCATTGACTAGTATACATATGTTTTGTGTTCTTTTCTAGAGGTTATACTTTATTGAAAAGTTAAACAAAAACCAAATATATGTGTCTGGTCCTTATGTGGAAGAATGGCTAGGGGAGAGGGGGTCCATTCACTTGGTGCATATTTATTGAGCACCTGCTACATGCAAGGCATTAATTTGGCACATTGACATAGTGGTAGGATAGGCAAGTCCTAGGTCCTCATCAGCTTACATTTTGGTGAGGGAGGGGTGGGACGATGAGAGAGATATACAAGTAACCAAGCAAAATAATTGCAGAAGAGGCGACTATTTCAAGGGTTAGTAAAGGGGCTTATGGGTTATGACACAGGAGGTGTTTTAGCCAGAACAGTCAGATCTCTGAATGACATTAGGCAAAGGCCTAAATGATAAAGAACTGCTATGGGGAGATGAAAAGGAAGAGAACAGTAAAGAGAACAGTAAGTACAAAGGCCCTGAGGCTGAAATGAGCCTATCAAGGCCACTGTGGCTGTACCACTGAGACAGAGAAAAGTGGTATGAGATGATTTCCAGGACACAGGGGCCTGGAATGCCATGGTAGTGTTTGGATTTTATTCTAAGTGGAAGAGAAAGTGATCTTGGTCTCCTCTCTTCCCTAGGTCTCAGCCAAGAGGGCACCGTCTGCAAAAATGTCTGCGGATCCCTTATCCAGTAAAGCCCTGAAGGTGAGGAGGCAGTCGCGGTTGTCCCTAGTCCTCCCGTTACCTCCTTCCCTACCTGCAGGGATGAGCCTCTCACCCCAACTTCCCCTTCAGTTCCCGGTACGCCCGCCGTGGCCCACTGAGTGGGCATCAGGCCCCAGGAAGGGAACCCGGACACCCAGGCTCTGGTCACAAGGTGTGTCCCCAGGGAGATCACTTCCCCCTCCCGATCCTGCTTCCCCATTAGAACCACGCCCTCTGAGTGGCGGGACTTCAGAGCTGCTTTCTGAGCCAGATTTCTCTGGCTGAGTCCAGGCTGGGGCACCAGATTAGGATTTGGGCCAAGCCCTGGGGTGGCTCCTTTTGTGTTCAGATCCTGGTTTGGCTTGGTTTCCCCCTTCTGGATTCCTAATCCCTGCTTAGGGGTCTTGGAGCAAATCCAGTCACCACTGTAGTGCCTATGGTGGTGAAAGGGTAGTAGCATTGCAGGTGTAGGGGAAGCCATCTCTAGCACCTGCTGTGCACCAGGCCGAGGGCCACGGACCCCCTGGCAGTGATGCACCCCTGGGCCTCCGTTTCCCCATGCACCCAACGTGCCGCCCGCAGATTAAGCGCGAGATGAGCGAGAACACACCGCACCTGTCTGACGAGGCGCTGATGGGGTTGTCCGTACGTGAGCTGAACCGACACCTGCGTGGGCTCTCGGCCGAGGAGGTGACGCGGCTCAAGCAGCGGCGCCGCACGCTGAAGAACCGAGGTTACGCTGCCAGCTGCCGCGTGAAGCGCGTGTGCCAGAAGGAGGAGCTGCAGAAGCAGAAGTCGGAGCTGGAGCGCGAGGTGGACAAGCTGGCGCGGGAGAACGCCGCCATGCGCCTGGAGCTCGACGCGCTGCGGGGCAAGTGCGAGGCGCTGCAGGGCTTCGCGCGCTCGGTGGCCGCTGCCCGCGGGCCCGCCGCGCTCGTGGCGCCCGCTAGCGTCATCACCATTGTCAAGTCGGCCCCGGGCCCGAGCCCCAGCCCCGCCCCCGCCCCAGGCTCCGCCCCCGCTGCCTGCTCCTAGTGCCCGCCGCGCGCGAACACCCAGTTCGCACGTCCCACCGACCCCCGTTACCCTCCCAAAGTGCCTAAGCGACATCTCTGTCCCCAGGAGCCATTTCTCTGCAGCTGCCACCCCCTGTGGCGAACACACGTTCTCTCCCTGAGCATGTCTTCCTTGTCGCGGAGACCCATCTTCTCTGTAACTGGGACCTAATAGGTGGCCCTAGGGAGGGGCAACTTTAGTGAGATGGGGGAGGGGGTGGGGTGGGGTGGGAATCTGGGTTCCCTTTGGCTTAAAGTTCAGCCTTAGATTGGGGGGATGGGATAGAAGGGTTTAGAGAAGGGCTGCAGGGAGAAGAGGGCACCTCTCATTTTATAAACTGTTTGCTCTTATTGTGCCAATAGCCCCTTGCCACCCTCCCAGGATTCAGGACTAGGTTCGGCCAGTTTGCGTCTCTTATGTGTCTGATGCTCCCACCTCTGTTTTGGGCCTAGAGGTACCTGGCCTTGCAAAGCTGGGAGTCATTGGAAATCACCTAGTCAAGTCCGGTTAACAGACAGGAGAGCAGCCTCCAGCGGATATGACAGTGCTTAAGCTTAGTGGCTGAGCTGAAACTAAAAGCCAAGTCTTCCTACTGCTGCCCCTACAGGGGACAGGGACAGGAAGAGGTGGTGAGAAGGCCTCGCTGGCTGGGGAGACGCTGTGATTTAGGGGAAGAGACGTAGAGGGACAGAGAAGGTGATAACAGATGGAAGAGAGGGAAGGAGCTGGCCTTGCTCAACCCCTGGGCTCTCCCTGCAGCCAGGGGGCTGGCCAGCCAAAGACAAAGGGGACAAAGGAGGTGACCACCCATCATGGCAGGTGGGGAGATGAGAAGACAGATCCTGCAGTCCTGCAGTCTGGGGTGGGGGTCCTTGGAAGGGAAGGGCCCCACCTCTCCTCCCATGAGTGTTCATTATGGGCTGGGTGCTGACCACTGCCCCTGATTGCCATTCTCCTGGGAAGCCCAGCCCCCACCCCACTCCACACACTGTATACAGCTGCCCCTCCCCACTGTTTATTTATTGCACAAACTAAGTTATTCTCCCCAGCCAGAGCCCTCGCACTCACTTCCTGGGAAAAGTGGTGTGGGACCCTGAGCTGGACTTTATATTTTATATCTGCAAATAAATCACATTTTATCTTATATTTAGGGAAAGCCGATGGCAACAATCAAAAAGTTTGAAAACAATTGCCAGGCCCCCGGAATTTATTTATTTTCTGACTTACAGTAAGCGAGTTATCCGCCTTCTGTATTTTGTACTTTCTGAATAAAGTCAAGTTCTCTTTTTCCACAGTGAAGAAGTGTATGTCCTAGGTTATGGTTTATTTTGTGGTGGAGGGAGTTCTGAATGAGGGTCCCAAGCAGGACTCTCCTCTGGGCAGAGGGTTGGCCCTAATTTGCAAATGAACTAAGAGCTCCTGTAGCTCCCTGGGCAGTGGGCTGGAAGGGGGTCCCACGAAGAAGGGGCTAAAACATCCCTCCTTCCTTCTGTCTGTCTGGGGCCAAGGAGCTCCCGGGAAATACAAGCCAGAAGGGCAATGAAATGTAGGCTTAAATTCTCTGGGCATCTCTTCAGTGAATAAACAGTCCCGCCCAGAGGAAAATTCCCAGATTTAAGAGTCATCTTACAGCACTTTCACATCGACGTCAGATTTTTACAGCCAAGTAGAAAATATTTTCCCCAAGTTCCGGAAGGCACAAGAAGGTGGGGAAAGAAGTGGCTTCCGCAGTCCCAGTCTGCAGGCCGGAAAATGCAACCCCGTGTCAGCCTAGGCCTCAAACTCAAACTGTAATTTCAGCCCAATCTGCCTGCCTTTCTGCCCCAGTCCCCACCCCAGGAGTGGAGTGTACCACAGGGAGATAGGGTTTGAAGCCAGGGGTGCCTTTCTCTAGCTGCAAGACCTCTGATGACTTACTTAGCTTCCTGCGGCCTCAGCTTACTCACCTGTACAATGAAGGTGCTCTAGGGCATTTACATGCAGCATAAATGTTTGCACCCTGCACACAGCTACAGTGAGAGGCAATTTCTGTGTGGCTGGGTGCAGAGACATGGGGCTGGGAGGACGTGTCTGTGGGAGGTGCAGGATTTAAAATCTGGGGTAGGGCTGAACCACAGGGTTGACTGGGTCCAGAGGCCCTTCTTCTCAGGTTGAGGCCCAAGACACTGAGCCGAGGCCCCAGGAAAGGGCAGTGGGAAGTGGTGGGAGGGGAAGGCCAGTGGAGGCTGGTGGCTGGCTGGGAACTTCCCCACCCACGCTGCATTCCTGCTGCTCTGGCTCCTCCGGGTCCTGGCATGCAGTGTGGTGGCGGGAAGGGGCCCTGCTGGCCAGGCACCTGGCCTGGTGGGCCCTGCTCCAGACCTCCTTACCCCTAGGCACTTCAGGTCCCAGGGTGGGGAGTGGGGCTCAGGGACACACGAAGGGAATCTGGAAGGAGTGAGGGTCCCAGGAAGTCTCTTCAGTCTCCTGGGGACACGTGCAGGAATGGGGCTTGCCAGCGCAAGGGCCCTGTCTAGCTGGTTGACGAAACAGGGACGATGCATCAGCACACTGCACACACTAGCCCTGCTGGGTGGGGAAGGTGGTTCCCTGTGACCAAGGCTGCCACTGTGTCCCACTGGTGGGGGTGGGTGGGTGGGAACAGTGTCTAATGAGGGCCTGGACCCCAGTTTTAAGCCTGGCAATGTGAATCCCAACATCACCTACACAGTCCACATAGGAAGGAAGAGGTTACTTAGGACACCCCAGCCCACAACCACTAAGTCCACCGCAAACTCAAACGGGCCGGGGAAGAGGGAGGAAAAAACCTCACCCACAGGCAAAGATTTCAATACAATCTATATTATCTTAGATATATTTCTTTCTCACTTTATTTGCTCACTTCTGTCACGCATTTAAAATGTTACAGAGACCAAAATAGAGCGGCTTTCTGGTGGAACTCTTGGCAGTCATACACGAGATACAAAACTAGGGGACTCTGTCTTCTTATACATCATACAATTAATTTTTCAAGTATTTTTTATGTACAAAGAGCTACTCTACTGGGAAAAAAAACAAAACAAAACAAAGAAACAAGGTAGGTTACACATCCTAGGAAGGAGCGGGGGAGTGGTTGGGCAGGCATTCCCAGCCCCTATCTCCCCAGGGGCTGCTAGTGCCCCCCCACCCCCCATGCTAGCAGGCAAGTGCCAGGGCAGGCAAAGACCACGGGGGCAGGGAGTCAGCAGCACACTTTGGCCTGGAAGGAGAATCAGAAACAGATTCATGAAAGCAAATGGTGAGAGTGGGCACAGAAGTTCTCCTCGGACAGCCCGCACACACAGGCTGCCTTCCCAGGCAGCTTGGTACCAGCTGGCCAGGCCCACCGCACAGGAGCCTGAGAGCTGGCCTGTGACCCCACCCGAGGGCTCTGTGACCCTGGGGGGCTGGCTTGGTCACAAGGGCCGAAGGAGGCCTGGGAAGACTAGTGGGATGGAAGCCCCCACCTGACCCTCAGCACAGTTCATTCCAGGAGGGGCCAAAGGGAAGAGATTCCGTGAAGCTGGGATCCACAGGGCAGGCCCCTTCTCTCTCACCCTACCCGTCCCCAGGCTACTAGAGCCCAAACCAATGCTATTTGGGTTTGAAGCAACAGAAAGCTTGGCCTATATGAACATGCATCATGTCTGTTCAGTCTCTTCCTAAGATAGTGGCCTGTGTCAGCCTGGCCTGCCTGGGGGCTCTGGCCTTGGGAGGCTCCAGGTATATGGGTGTGGGGGTGGGCAAGGCTGGGGGGAGACTGGAAGTCCTGGCCACCTCTGAGGCCTGTCCAAGGGCACTCAGCCCAGCACTGCAGGATCCTCTGGGTGCCAGCAGCTTAATAGGGGGCCCCCAGGGAAGGCCTGGGAATAGACTTAGGGCCTAGGCGGGGGGAGCTTTCATATGTGACTAAGGCACAGAAAAGATGGGCTAGGGCCAGACGAGGCAGGGTGCCAGGCCCTGAGTGGGGCCAGGGAGAGGGGACCGGACCACTCCTCCCAGTTCTCAGCTCCCTGCTGCTGCCCCAGCCCTCAGCCCTCCCACCTGCAGGACTGAGTTTGTCCAGAAACTAGTCTGAAAGGGGGAGACTCAGACCCTTCCCTGAAACGGGAGGGAGAAGCCTCAGGGAGAGACCAGGGCCCAGCAGAGGTTCTGATTGCTCGTCTTGGGAAGGAGGGTTGCGAGCCTGTCAGAGCAGCCAGGGCTCCGCCCAAAATGCTCCCAAGAGAGACCCCAAGTGGCAGCGTGGGCTGCTGGGTGTCCTCGGCAGGCCAGGAGGAAGGGGCATGAGGCAGGCAGAAGATGCAGCCACGGAGGACACCCAGGAGCCCACAGACCCCCCACGTGGACAGCCTGTAACAACACAGGAGGGGCCCGGAGGCCCCGGAGCAACCTTCCTGGGCGGGGCCTGGGGCTTGCATGTGGGCTCTGATCCGGCCTGCCGGCCAGGGTCAAAAATGGTCCACAGAGAGCGTCTGAGTTCCCTCCTCCCTCCTGCCAGGGGTGAGGCTAGTCTAGTATCAAACAAGGGTAGACAGGAAGGAGCAGGCAGGGAGGAGCCTGGGTCAGAGTATTGCACGGTGTTAGGCATGGGGCGCTAAGTCTCAGGGCAATGCCTGGGGCAGGGCTGAGAAGTCTGCACCCTGGTCTACAACACAAGTGTCTGGGCCTGAGCATGGCTGGTCCCAACATGCCACCACCACAGGACATGCCGCAGGGCCCGGGAAGTCGCTCCCAGTGTCCTCTGCCCCTTGCCTGGCAGTGCAGGCTTGGCCGTGGGTAAGTATTCCTGAAGGCTCGTGAAGGGGCCCGGCCTGTCTCCTGGGCAGGCGGTACCTGTGTGTTCCTCTGGAAGTGATATGTGAGTATTTCTGGTCCAATAAATTAAATGGCAATGCCAAAGCTGTGCCAGGCTGCCTCCTGGCCTGACCATGGGACTGGAGTTGGGCACACATCCTGCCTTGGGCCCAGGTGCCAATCTTTCCCACCAGCCACCACATCTAGAACTCATCATCAGAGCTGAGCAGGAGAGTCTTCTCGTTGTCTCGGGTGCCACTCAGGCTGTGGGAGCGTGAGAGGCTGTGGGAGCTGCCACGCCAGGCGGGCCCAGGCTCCAGGGTGGCCTGCTGCGTGTACTGCTGGTAGGCAGGCGAGAAGTTGTGGATGGCGTCCTGCACGATGTCATGTGGGTTCATGGTTTCCTTGAGGCTGCTGGAGATGCTCTTCATGGGGGCACAGCGGCCTGCAGGGCAGGGGTGGAGAGGGGGTGAAGGGTGGGGCGGGGGAGGCCCTAGGGCTGTGCCACCCAACCACTCCTCCCGGGACAGAGGACAGGGTCCCAGATACGAGAAGGTGCAGGCAAAGCAATGGCTTCTCCAGCTGGGCAGGCGCCAAAGGGAGAGCACCTCTCTGAGGAGTGGGGGTGAGCAGTTCCCCCCTGGGGGGGAACCAGGGGCTAAGGTCCACAGGCGGGAAGGGGTCGGGGGGTGGAGACTGGCACATGCCAGGCAATGAGCCCAGAGGCCAGGATGGCTTGGCATCAACTGAAGATGGGGAGTATCTGGGAAGAGGGCCCAGGAGCCAGGGGTGCCCAGGTCCAAAGGAACTAGCCCTGCCCTCTTATCTGGGGGTGCTCCCCTTCACTCCGAGGAGTGGACCAGGGTCTTGGACCCACAGCAGAGCAGACACAGAATAGTGGGAGCCACCTACCCTGACATTCTTCCTCCTAATTCCCTCTCATAAATCGTCCCCAGACACTGTGGGAAGAAATGGCCTAGGCCACAAAACCAAGAAATAAGAGATAAGCTCAATTCGAGCACACAGGTCCCCAGACTCAAACTGGCGTGCTCTTTACACCTTCATGCTCTCTGCCGTGAAACGTGACTAAATACCCCTGGGATGAGCACTGTGCCCCCAGAACCAAGCAAGGCATATTTCCAAATAACGAGAGACAAGTATGGAAGCAGACAACATTATGGAGGGTGGCCCGGCAGGTGCTCTGGGGCTCTGCTGCCCGGGCATACCTGTGGGAGATTGGGACACAGAGAAGGAGCTAGGAGAGAAGCATGCCAGTGACAGTGACCAGGACTGACATGCAGGACAGACATGCAGACGAGAGCAGAACCTACCGTAAGGGCCATATGTTGGCACTGCCCGCGGCCAAACCCGGGGCAGAAGCAGGGTGGGGGTGGGGTGAGGGGAGAGAAGCCGGAGAAATAGAGAAGACAAGAGAGAGCTGAGTGAGGGCCGTCTGTCCACCACCGAGGCCCAGCATACCACACCGTACACCCTGCCCGCCCCACTCGCAGGCCCTGCCTAGTGCCCAGGCAGCTGCAGCTGCCCCTGCAGGGTCTGGGCAGGATGGCCACCTAGGGACGGCTCCTCTGGTGCAACTCATGCTTTCCTTTCAGGGCAGAAAACACACAGCAGACACCCAGAATGGTGGCCAGAGTTCAACCTCTGTACCTAAGTCAGGGTTCCCCCGCCTACTTCTCTACAGCCTGGCTGGGATTGCTAAGCTTGTGCCATGCACTTTACAAACCTCCCATCACTTCACAGACAAGGAATAGACCACACGGTGAGCCAGCTTTGCCCCTACGCCTGTGGCAGGTGCTGGGTCCTGCCTTTCCCTGCCAGGGCTGGGCTGGGGACCTTGCTAGAGGTGTGTTTCCGGCAATGCTAGTTCTTGCTGGGGGGCATGTATCTGGGGGCGGTGGGTGGGAAGGCAGCCCAGGTGTCTGCTGAGAGCCTCTGCAGAGCTACCTAGTACAGAAGGGCTTCCTTAAACCATTTCAAACCTTGCAGAGAGGGTCCTCTGCCATGACCCCAGGCTCCAAGGCACAAGGATGACTTTCCCTAGGACAGAGGCCCTGTTAGATCAGGTCCAAGGGACATCACCCTCAACACTGGGGACCTGGTGGGGCCCCTGCCGGCAGCAGTGAACCATGGCCAGCACAGTGCAAGACACTGAGTAAGTGTGCAATTAAACTGGAAAAAGTACCCCCAGCTTCCAGCCAGGAAGTGTGTTGGGAGAACACAGTCCGGCGCACAAGTTATCAAGAGGCCTGGAGTACAATTTGGTCCATAAGCCTCGAGCAGCAGTGCAGACATTTGAGACTTCTTCCCAACCAAAGAACATGATTAAGTAAAAAGGGGAGGAGGAACGGGCCAGTGCCACTACCATGTGCTCAGTACAGCACCCCCCAGGGCCTGTGGTGGGCACAGGCTGTTGGGCCTGGGTAAGTGGGATTCTCCCCGTCCAGCCACATGGAAGGGAGCTGGCAGCTGCCGAACTCCTGGGGGTTAGACCAGGAGGGTCCCGTCCCTAGGCCCTCCTGCCTCCTCACTGGGTCAGGTCATTTCATGCATTCGCAGCCTGCTCTTCCTCCCCGTGAGCACCCCTCTCTGCCCACAGCAGCTAGCAGCAGCTCCCGTAGTCCCTGGGGCGCTCCGAAGGCACACACAGCAGGGCCCACACACAGCAGTTACTGCGGAAATCTCCAGGGTAGGGCCCAGGCACGGGGACTTTGAAGACTCTCCTGGGCATTCTAACGGACAGCTGGGGTTGCCAACGTCTTCTAACAAAGAGGAAGATTAGCAGGTGGAAAATGAAAGCTGTTAAAAGAATTGCCATCTGAGTCTGTTTCTTAGAAGTACAGGAATTCTAGGACAAATAGGACAGCCGTGTTTGATGTCAGAAACCATTAGAAACTCATCTATTCTAGGGTCTCTGTCCTGACCTGTGGGGTTACTGTGTTGTATCATCTCAGAGGTCTCTATACTCCAGAACTGATGCAAGAGACAGGTGAGCCTCGCTTCCACAACCTCTGACCCCTTTCCCCCAGGTGAACTGGGGATGCCTGACTGGGTGGCAGGGAGCCCACAGCGGGGTCGGGAGTGCTCCCCTCACTGGGGGTCATCTCCAGGAGCCTGGCTCATACCTTGCGCATCCAGTCTCTTGTCAGCATAGACCCTATAGGTGAAGGCGTGCCTCAGGGCCAGGGCCGCAAAGAACATCTCGATGCAGATGATGAAGTCCTGGTAGCCAGCAGCCACGGTGCCCTCACCCACCGACACGCGGGCTGAGTGGATCTTGGGGATGGCCCCGCACTTCTCCAGGATGGCCAGGAGCATGCCTGAAGGGAGGCATGCGTGTCCAGCCCCAGACCAGACCCGTTTCCCAGTTCTCCTTCCTCATGCAGGCCCCCATGTACCACACCCCCCAGGAGGAAGGAAGCAGAACCCACAGCTCCTGTAGGGCAGGGATGCCAACACAAAACCGACGCTTCTAGGACACCCCGTCCCCCCAGCTCCTTGCTGGTCACCAACACTGAGACACTGCCGACTACGTGGGCCCACTGGGGCTTCTCTGTGGTTCCTGTGAAAGGTCCCTGAAGGCCAGCACTTCACACCTGGCAGGTGCCCGCTGGACAGAGGCCCCTCTGATACTCAGGCTGGGGCCGCCCAGGGACAGTGCCATGGCCCAGGCCCCACGGGCACTGGGGCCAGTGAGCAGGAGGAGGGGGAGGCTTGGGGGCGGGCTGGGAAGGGGCTCACCCTGCCAGAAGGAGAGGAAGATGACGGACTTGACCATGAAGAACTTGAGGACGGGGCTGTAGGGGCTGAGCAGCTCCCGGGTGGCGAAGTAGAAGAGGAAGAGGGCGTAGAGGGCCAGGCTGACGGAGATGTTATAGATGATGGTCACGTAGAGGTAGCCGCTGGTGACACTGTGGGAACGGGAGAGAATTCTCTGGCTTGGACGGGCATCTGGGGAGGGGTGGGAGGGCAGTGCAGGCCAGCCCTGCGTCACTTGCTGATATGTGTAAAGCCACCTGCCTGCAGCTCTGTGCCCACACCCCTGCTGGAGAACACTGACAACCAAGATAGCCTGGGATGGAGAGCTTGGCCCAGTGGTCAGACAACAGGTGCCAGAGTGACAGGGGGCTCAGCTTTGCTCTTTTCACGTGAGCCAAGTTATGCCCCCTGAGCCTCAGTTTGCTTGCGTACCCTGGCAGGGCTGTTGTGTCGGTACAGAGTGTGTGCAAAGCACTTGTGAGCACAGGGGCCTGGACACACGCTCACTTCCGCTAACCCCAGAGATGAGACTTTCTACTAGGTACTCAAGCCAGGCCTCTCAGGGCTCTGACCCAGCCTCGCTACCTGCTCTGGGAATGGTCACTGTCCCTTCTTGGCCGCCCCTGGGGCACCACTCTGTTGCCTATACGTGAAGGTGACGGATGCTGAGGGCTTGCTCCTGTGCTGGAGACAGGGCCAAGGGCAAAGGCGACCACTTCGAGGCCTGGGCCTTGCAACTCAGGGGTGCACGGAGGCATGAGGAAGGCTAAGGCCGTGCTTGGCCTCCGCTCAGAGTAAGGTCATGGTGTGTGGCCAGTCGGCAGCTACTCCCTTCCCCACGCAGAGCATCAGCCTCTGGGCAGGGCCACCCACCCCGGCACTGACACCCCTCCCTACACAGTCCTCGGGGGACCCCTCTGCTTACTCAAAGTCACCATCCCGGTACTTGCCGAAGGCCTGTAGGACCACAGTGCTGACAGCCATGAGTGGTTTCACCACACAGAACTGCAGGGTGGCCTGTTGCAGGGGACAAGGTCAAAGGTCAAGGACAAGCATGGAAACCCTGTTACAAACACATCCTCTGTCCAGCTGGGACTGCACTGGGTGCCGGGAGACGGGGTGGGGGACCCAAAGGACTGCCCCTAGGGGACTGTCAGGGAGTGGGGGCAGAACGGGTGAGGTGACGACAGAGCGACACCACTGTAAGAAGATGGAGGGTGTAAAAGCAAGCAAGGAAGGATGGCCGGTGGAGAGATGGAGGAGCAGGGGACAGGAGATGCCCTCCGAGGCGGCCTCTCCGAGATGGGTCAGCGGGAAGGTGCCAGAGAGACAAGGGGCCAGCTTACACACAGACCCAGAGGCAGGGAGTGGGCAAGTGCAGGGGAGGAGTGCTGGCGACGGCAACAGCAGGAGGTGGCCGGGCAGAAGGGTAAGGCTGGCGCCCTGCTCCGGGTACTGGCCCTGCTGGGGCAGGGCTGGGGGAGGGCCTCCCATCACCCTCCTCGTCCTCCCGGGCCTACCCCCGGCCCCAGGCTCTGGGCCTGGATCCAGAGTTTCTGTGAACTTAGGGGAGCACCGAACAGGAAGCAGCCCAAAGCACAAGGTCTGGAGTCCCAACACCCGAGTCTGAATTCTGGCCTCACCACCAGCGGTGGCAGAAGTACTGATACCCCACCCAGAGGAAGTAGGCCCAGCACCCTTTGAGGAAACGGGAGGAGCAGTTTGTACCATGTGAGCACTGAGTGCTATCCTAGGTCAATTCACTGGGTGCTCACAACCCCATAAGTACAGTTACAGATGAGGAAACTGAGGCACAGAGAAGCTCTGCTGAAGCAGCAGCAGCACCAGAGCCCAGGCCAGCAGGCCCCAGGGCCTTCACCCAACCACACCCCTGGATCGTGTCTGAAATCGGTCAGTGGTTCCGCAGCCACGCTGGACACCAGGTACGCCTGCAGAGCTGTAAACATGCTCCAGGTCCCAGAGCTCTGATCTCTCATCCAGACCTTCCAGTCAGGACAGGGTGGCTGACCTGAGATCCTCTACTTCTAACAAGCTCTCCAGGCGATTCAGACACTGGGCACTGGCCTGGATTTCTCGGGTCCTTTCTCTGCCAAGCAGCAGGGCCCTCGCTCCAGGGAAAGGGTTGCAGAGGCTTCCTTTGTTCTCACTTATACCACCTCCCTCTGCCACCGCCAGGAACAGCGGCAGAACCTCCAAGCCCACTGGGCTGAGGAGTCATTTATAAAAAGGCTGCAAGCTAGTGATCATGGGATCAAAACTTTGTATACAATATAACCATCAAAGACAGCTGGTGAGTCACAGCTGGGCCCAGGGCGGCCAGGCCCACTGGTAAACAATGGCTCTGAGAGGCCCCACCCACCCTGAACCCAGGACTGTTTTAACTCCTTCCCTGCAGGCCTAGTGGCGAGATACTGAATTTATGAATGTCCTAGGGAAGACCAGGAGGCAGAAGCGGGGCCCAGGTTTATCCAGGTAACTGCTCCGTCATAGAGATGTGGCTGTGGCTGTGCCCTGCACTGAAGGGAGCAGAAAGGCCGGCCCTCCAGCAGTCACAGTGAGGACAGGGGTTCCATTTCCCGTCGGGACTACTCCTGGTGAGGCTGGCCCCTGCGGAGCTGCGGAGGAGGCTAAGCTGAGGTCACACACGCTGGGTGTGGCTCAGACTCTCCCTCCCTGAACCAGAGACAGTGGGCTCCAGGCCAGCAAGATGCTGAACACTTCATATCATTACCATTCCTGTTCCTGAAACCAACCCTTGAGACAATCATACCCATGTTACAGAAGAGGAAACTAAGGCTCAGAGAGAGGTTATGTAACTTATCCAAGGTCACATAGAGAAGCTGGAACTCAGATGGTCAGAACCCAGGCCCACGTACTTGACTGCACCACACTGCCTCCACGCATCACTCTAGACCATGGGGAAAGCAGCTGGGGAACCGGAAGCTGCTGGACTGACTGCCAACTGAGAAAAGGCGGATGAGACCAGAGACTGCCCAGGCCTGCTCTGTCATATGTCTTTCATGCAGAAACCCTCCTGGCCTGGGGCCACACCTGATGAGTTTTCAAACTGAGACTCTAGAACCCCCATGCACATTCTCTGCTCTGACACACACCCAAACTTGGTCCATGAGCACAAGAGTCTAGGCCCACCCTGCCCAGAGCTACATCAGACACTCCCAGGACGCCTATTGCAGCCCCTCCAGGAACACCCTGCTAACATGTGTGCACCCTAACAGCTTGGGGAGTGGGTGCTGGGGCTTGGGGTGCTTCGCAGGTGGGGCCAGGGCGGCCGGCAGCTGCATCCTTGCGGGCCCAAGCCTGCCTTTGCCACTCCATCAGCCAGGGGCAGCACAGCCTCGGCAGCTGCTGCCCCAGGCACAGACCCAGGCTCCCGGTCCCTGACCTGCAACTTCTGACTGGCAGTTGCGGGGCACACACCTGCTTGCAGAACCGCAGGAACCCAATGGAGTAAGTCTTTCCCCAGAGGCAGCACGTGCCATACACACAGCTGGACCTGGAAGAGACAGTGGAGATGGGGTGGGTGAGCAGAGAGCCAGGACTCAGGCAGAGTGGGGCTGGGGAGGGCCACTCTCCCTCACAGCCAGGGGTCCAGGAGAGTGGGCCGGGATGGGGCACAGACCCGGGCAGCCTTTCAGCCGAGGCCAGGCACAGGGAGAGACATGGGCAAGCATCGGCCCATGCGGTGGGTTATGAGGGAGCAGGGCTGCACCAGCCTTGGGTAACAAATAAACTTGAAAAGCAGTGAATATAAAAACTGCAAGGTAGAGAAACAGGCAAACAGAAAAGGACAGGAAGAGGAGGAGGAGAAAGAGGCAGAGAGACCCTCCCAAGAGTCCCAGTGAAGGGCCTCACTCAGGAAGTAGGGAAGGCATGGCAGGTCAAGGTCATGGGCAGGGAGGGTCTGTGTCCAGCTGCCGCGGGGACAGCTCCAAGAAGGCCAGGCCCAGGAAAGTGGCTGGTGCAGGAGGCTTCAGGGAGACTTCATACTTACTCTATGGGCTTTCCTCTGATCTCGGACATGATGGAACTTTCTCCCCCGAGGTATTCATAACACAGGCTCAGGAAATTATAGATGACCAAGGCTGCAAACAGTGTCCAGAGAAAACCACTCAGATCAGAAGGGTGGGGAAACAGACGGTGGGATTCTGAACAGCAACGGAGTGAGAGCCACAGTCACAGGTGCCACAGCGGGGGCCTCCAGGACACAAGAACCACACGGCAAGTATTCCATTTGTAACCAAATTCAGACACAGCTAAATCCTGTGTCCAGGGATGCATGCATACACTGCTAGTCAGAGAAGCAAGGAAGTGATTACCACAAAATTCAGGACTGTGTGGGGAGGCTGAGGGGTTGGGGGGACCAGGATGGGCACACAGGGCCCCTAGGGAGCTGGCAGTGTGCATATAATGGGGTTCAATGGATATTGGCTTTAGAATTATATATTAGTTGTATGCACTTTTCTCTTTGATGTTATGGATCACAATTTCACACAAAACAGAACAAGATACTCTCTAGACGGATCTCAGGAGATTCTGAGAGCAGGACCTGAGACCATTCTAGAACTTTTAGGGGAACTTGGCATTCAGGGCACTATAAGGCATCACAAAGCACACGAGGGTGCCCAGGATACAGCATGACTGCCTCGGGGTGCTGGGCCACTCATTGTGAATCAGGAGGCAGCTCGATGTCACCATAAACAGTTTGCCAAGGAACCGAAAGCACAGAAGTACGTTGTAAATGCTATAAATACAGCGGTCATCCGTGTGCTGGTCAGAAGATTTCTGCTGGGTCAGCCAGAAGAAGGCTGCTGCCTACCATGTTGCCGGGAGCCAGCAGCAGAGAGTGTGGGAGAGAGAGAGGGGTGCAGCGGAGGACCCCACAGAGGCAGGGAGCAGGGGAACCAGAGGGGCATCCAGGCAGGGAGTCAGGCCCATGAGAGAACCACATGGGGTCAGGGGACAGGAAAGCCAAGGGAGGTGCCAGTGGCCTTGCAGTCAGAGGGCTCCTCACTGGTCCCGCCATCCCCCTGCGGCACGAAGGCCTTGGGGTCCCCTGGTGCTGCCCCTTGTCTCACACTCAAGGTCTTGCAGCAGGTGCCCGGGTCCTTGCCTGCCCCGCACACCCCCTGCCCGCGCACCTGACGCACCTCCTCCTCACGGCGTCGCGCCCTCCTTTTGCTTTTGCCACTGCTGACCTCACCACCTGGGGGCTTTTCCCTCAGCACCCCTGGCCCGCCATGCACAGCTTCCCACCCAGTACTAGGATGACCAGCTGGTCTTGCAGGACCATGGCCCTTAAGGGTTCCTGGTGCTTCTCAGAGCATGGGCACAATGCTTGGCACCCACAAATGTTTGCTCTGAACTGGAGCACCTAAGATCCTGGTGACAGAGTTTTAGACAAAAGTTGGCTTTCAGCAATTTGGAAAGGAATATATTTGGGCTGCTTTATGCCAACTCACAGTTGCTGTGACCTAATAAGGAGGACTCCCATCTCCAGCTGGGCTGGGGGACGCCCTATGTAAACATGACCCACAGCACCTACCAAACCATGCTGTGACTGTCCCTCTATAGACATAAAAGAGAGCGTTTGCAATGTGGATCTGCTGCCAGTTAGCTGTGAGCTGTGAGCTCCTCATCCGTCAAAAGGGGATAACAGGAGTTCCTACCTTGACAGTGGTTTTGCATACAAACATATATAAATATATATATATATATTAGGTGGTGGAGCCATCTAGTTCTGCATTCAACTGGTCAGAATTGTCAAATTTCATCCATCTCTCTCAGTTCAAGATTCTTGACCTTTTTAAACAGTGGTTTGGGGCCAGCCAGTCTGTAAAATACCAATTTGGGGACGATTTCCTTTAAAGAATCATTAGTAGGGTAATAATGCATTCTCAGTGAAGGCAGACAAGACAGAATCTCCTCAGGATGACTCAACCAGCCCACACCAGGACCCACTGACCATTGGGACTAGCCCATCCCCTCCTAGGATAGCACAGAGCCATACAAAACGCCACACCCAACACCCCAGCAAGGCTGCTTAAAATGGACAACTCCACACATACCCCAGGAACAAACACGACGATGTTTGCTCTGGCCCTAGTCATAAGAAGCACAAAAAGGCTGGGCTGGAAATGAGGAGCCGGGTTCTTAGCCAGCAGGCTTGCTGTCTGACCACTCTGCTGACCACAGTTGCAGTCCATCCCCAGAGAGGCCCCAGAGACACAAGATGACTATGCCTCCCTAAATACTCAGAGTGTGCCAGGCTCTATGCTAGGCCTTGGGGACACCTAAGTGAGCAGGGGACCCAGAGACCAGGCCCTCCAGGCTAGAGGGGAGCACCCAAACATCACGGAAGGGATGGCCCACCTCTCTACCCCATCCAAACAATCAGGTACCTAGAACTCTGCTCTACCCTAGATACCAAATCTTAAATGAACTAGAAACAAATGTACATAATCAGGACCAAAAGACCAGATAGAGATGAAATGGGGACCATACTGGAACTTGAGGCCTGGAGAGAAGACATTAGGGGTTACTCTCTTTGTATAAGGGACGGCAACCTTGTCCAGAGGGTCAGACAGGACCCACTTGGTCCCAGGGGCAGATCCTAGGACTTCAGCTTAATATAAGAAATAATTTTTAACAGGCAGTTTTCAGAGGTGGAAGGCAGTGAGCTCCCTGCCAGTGGAAGCATGCAACTGGGGGCTGGGGAGCCTCTTGGCATACATTATGAAGGGGTTCCAAGCAGCTGAGACTTTATAGGTCCCCTCCCATCTTGAGACGTGACTTTCTTTCCTCACTGGCAGCTTCTCTAACCTGAGCTGCCTCGACAGGAAGCTCTATTCCCAGAGGCTGTTCTCCACCCAGCCCTGACCACTGACCAGGCATCCCCTCTTAAAGGAAAGCTGCCCCAGCACAGCCCCCAGAGCCCCGGGGGCCCTAGAGAGAATCCGCTAAGAAATGTACTCAGGCACCTCTGCCAGCAACTCCCAAGCCAGGAGTCCTCCCAAGCTGCCCACTACAGGCAAGACAGGCCATCTGTGGTTCATTCCATACATACAGTACTCGCTGGGCCCCCACTGTGTGCCACACACAGTGTGAGGAACCTCAGAGGCCCTGAGCACACCTGGCTATTCGGAGCTCGCCTGCTCTGCACACCTTCAGCCTAAGGCTGGCCTCTGTATGCAGAACTTTTTTGCTCCACAGAAACACTTTCATTATCTGGAAAGATCTGGGCATTCTAATTTCAGGTAATTCACGGATGAGCCTGGAAAACTTAATTTTGACCACTCTGGAGAGGAGTCTTCTCAGCTCGGTAAATAGGAGCCTCAGAACATTCTTTCTCTGGTTTTCAGTGACTGGCGACCATTAATGACAGTAAGGACAGTGTGCTACAGCTGTGGTGGGCAGGGTTCACCTGGTGCCTGCCCACATTGCTGCATAGCAATGGCAGAGGACACATCCATATCCTATCACCCACTTGGGAGGCCTAGCAGTTTTAAGCTTCATTCTCAAATATATGAAGTAGCCAAGGGACACTAGACATTGGAGGAGAGCTTCTAACACAAAAGTCAAAGACTAAAGCAAACAAACAGATGAAAGGTACCCTGGAGACAGAGATAATGCAGGAAATAGAAGAAAACTGTAATTAGCATCCCCAGAGAGAGAAAAGGATACTCTGTCCAACACCATGCACAAGTGGCTATTAAAAACAAAAAAACAAATAAACCAGGGAAGAGCTCCTAACATTTTACAACATGACAAAGGAAATAGAGCTTTTAATTAAAAAGCTCAAAGGTGAAGATTAAGAGGAAAAAAAAAAAAAGCCCCTGGAAAACAGAACAAAAAGGAGCTGGAAAATTATAAAGAAAATTTGAGGCTCAATCTAGAAGCATATCCTATTAACAGGAATTCCAGAAAGGGAGAATAAAGTAGAAAAGAAGAACTTATCAAAGAAACATACAAGAAAACTTCCCAGAACCTTAGGACATGAGTTTCCACTCTGACAGGGCCTACCAGGTACCCCACACAATGAATATCCCACCTTTGGTGAGACTTCAGAACACTGGGGATAAAGGCAAGATGGCACAAGCCTCTACACAAGGGCAAAGAGCAGGATGCCTGCCGGCATTAAGGGTCAGAGTCAGCAGACCTTCTAAGAGCAACAATGGAAGCTGAGTGACAGTGGAAAACATGCCCTCAAAATTCAAAGTGAGAGTATTTCCAACTTAGAATTGAATTCCCATCAAATACCAATCAAATAGGACAATATGAAAAGATATTTTCAGATCATTTTCACATTTCAAAAAAAACCCAGAATTCTCATGTAGCCCTTTTCTTGGGAAGCTTATGGAATATGTACTCCAACCAAAAAAAGAACAAATCATGAACAAGGAAAAAACAGCATCCTGAGAACAGGTGTTCAGCACAGAAGAGGCGACCAGGTTTCCCGGATGACGGTGATGTAAAGACCCAGGACTACAGCTGAGCAGGGAAGGGCCTGGAGGCAAGCAGCCCAGACCAGCGGAAGGGCAGGGCTCCGGGAGGAAAAACCACCATGGGAAAAGCCAGGGCAAAGAGATTACTGATTTGTCTGACCGCACTGGGAGAAGGGATTCTCTTTTTATTCCGTTGAGGTATCTGGGAATAAATTGATAGATACACAGAAAACAGCAAACCGAGAGGCAAAACAAGTAGGAACCAGAGGAAAAACATAAAGTTGTACTGGGAAATGTATCAGGCTCAGCTTTGAGCAATATTTATAGGCATGAATAGTGCAAACACTGAATACAGACTTCGAAAAACTGACACCATCACACTAAGATGAAGGAAATAAAACTCAGGGTGCGGGTGCAGGGCTAAGGCAAGATGCCTACACCAAAGCCTTCTACAGCAGGGAGTCACCCTGTACCACCACCTGACACTGAAGTCAAGGAACCATAGGATAAGCATGTTTTTAGGTTATTCTAGAAAAAAAAAAGTTCAGAGTTCAAAGTGCAGTGACCTTGGGAGTGTGGGGCAGTTTTGTGTCTCAACCATATGCACCTATTACATTAATAACAGCAAAGTTTTAGTTGTTATATTTTTGTTTAAAAAAAAAAAGTGTCTGCACATGCCCAGCAGAGAGCCCAGCTCTGAGCTAGTGTAGGTTGGGGGCAGCCCGATCTGAAGTAGGAGCGCCCCCCGTGGCCTACTCCCATTCCCTTTCTGCCCCCTTCTGGGTCTTTGGACACTGAAGAGGAAGGGTGGGAGGGGGAATGAATGGGGGGCGCTTTCTGAATTTTAAGAGACACACACCATCACCAGCTCTGCAGGGGCAGCTCTGGTGGGCAGCTGCAGCACTTGCAGATAAAAGGCAACAGGAGAGGGTCCGACACCGAGCAGCAGCGTGGGAAAGGGTGAGTCAAAGGCCAGGACCACAGACTTGGACACTAGAAGCAGTCAACCTGGGGCAGCCCAGACTTCACACCAGCTGCGGTGCTGTCCACAAGCTCCCTGGAAAGGCCGGCCAAGGGGATACCAGTGTTGCTTGGAGACGGGCTTGACAGGACAGCAGAGTCCTAGCAGGACCTTTATACTGGGACGCTGGGACAGGCGGGGTCTGAACAAAGAGGTTTCTGGAGTAGGCAGACCCCGTCAACCATCTGCGAACAACTCAGGGCATGGAGTGGGACAGTGCAGAGGCTCCCCTGGCAGAGTCCCCTTCTGCCAGGTGCCCCAGCCTTCAGGGCCCAGCAGAAAAGGGAGGCTACACTTGTCTCTCAGCCACACAGGAGAGGGCCTCTGCTTTAGTGAGGAGCACCTTTGCTTCTGAAGGAAGCAGTGGGCACAGGTTGCTGCTGGGCACCATGTGAGGCTGGCAGCTGAACGGAAGAAGATCCTCAGCTCCCCATGCCCAAGCCCCACCTTTGCCCCTCCTCAGGCACTCTGACGTTTCCCTGGACTCTGCTGCTTCTAGGAACATCATGCACTGGAGCCCCAGTTATGCCAGGAGCAGGTGCCACTGGCCTCAGTGTTCTTATCTGGCAAAGCCAGGCAGGGCCACTAGATGGAATTCAATGAGGCCCAACGTAGGCAAATGCAGGGCCAGGTGTTTGATAATCCATTCGAAAAACATGGGTGGGATGAGTACCTCCCCGTGCCTGGCACCGTCATCTTGGGCTCTCCGCCTGCCCTGCGCTTGCTGAGCTGGAGTCCACTGAGGGAGGCGGCAGATCTGGCACATATGCTATCATTTTGTGCTTAACTGCAAACCGCGCTGAGGCCATGAGGATGGTGACAGGGTGCTGGGAGCGACGGGGAGGGATTTTCTAAGGAGACATTGGTGTCAAGATGAGGGAAGAGGGGAGGGGCCGGCCAGAGAAGAGCTTTCCAGGCGCTGGGGAAATGCCTGGTGTGCCCAGGCCGGAAAGGAGGCTACAGCAGCTGGACGGGTGGGGGGTGCAGAGTGCTCCCCTCAGGCGCCTGCACTTCCTCACCAATTACAAAGGCATTTCCTGTGCCCTGTGAGTCTTCAGGGATACACAGCTTCAAAGTAGGACAGGAAGAGAGACCCCAGCTTCTCGGGGGATAAGCGCACATGGAGCCCAAGGCCAAGGGCAAAGCCCCTAAGGGTCAGGGAAGCAGACAACTGGTCATGGTAAAGCTGTCCAGATTCAGCATAAGGAAAATCTGCTCACACTACTCAAAACCAGCAGTGCAGGTACAGGGAGGAAATGGAACCACCAGACCATGGGAGGAGGGTGGGCATCAGAGCAGGGATCTTGAATTCAAGATCCCCTCTCCAATCCTGTCATGTCCTTGTACATCAACAGTAAAAAAGAAAATCTGGGTTTCTCTGTACGGTCTGCAAGGCTCTGCATATCCCCACCCTGCCTCCCAGTGCGATCCCTTGCAGCGGCTGGTCTCTCTGGCTGGGGCTGGGCCCTAGCATGGTCCCCACCATGCATGCTGGCATCCCTCTCCTGCCCTGCACGTTAGCTCTCCTCTCTGCCCAGGCTGGGTGCTCATCCGTGGCACTTGTCTGACAGATGTTGCCTATTTCTTTAAGCCTCTGCTCCCTGCCTTCCCCAGGCCAGCGCCACTGGGCCCCGGTGAGAGAGCATCCCGGTCTCCTCGTGGTTACTGTCTGGCAGCACAGACTCCTGGAGAGCAGGCAGGCTTTCTTCTTTATAGCCTGGCACCCACCCAGCAGAGGGCCTGGCTTATGCCTGGAGCTCAGTACTGGAGTGGGGGCATCTACACCACCCACGAGATGGGAGGCCCAAGAGGCAGCAAGTTGGGACAAAGCTCTCAGAAATAAGACACGTGGGAGAGAAACCCCACACTGCCACCACCTTGCCACGGACCCGTGGACAAATCCTTGACTGTCTATACCAGGGTTTTCTGTCTACCAATGGGCCACTCATTTGCTGCCCACATCCCCATTCAGAGATGCCAGAACTGAGAAATGAGACACAGGTGGAGGGTCCCCTGCGTCCAGGAATCTGTGAAGGTGTTTGGGAGCCACGTGGCCAAGTGCATCTGAAGGGGAGACTGGGACCACATGTGCTGTTAGGGGAGCCAACAGAAACCTGGAGTGGGGAAAGGTGCAGCACCTGGCAGCTCCCCACCCCCATGCCCCACGGGCCATCCTCACCCTCGTAGCAGTCACGCACGGTGCCAAAGTACACGTAGTACTGGTCATTGGTGAAGAAGAGGAGGCTGAGCCACGAGTCGAAGGCGTAGATGGGCACGATGAAGAGGATGCGGACGATGTAGCGCTGCTCGTTGGGGCAGCTGTAGCAGCGCAGGTGCATGTAGATCTGGGGGCAGAGCAGGCAGGCTCAGCAGAGGGCCGGCTGCCATGCAGCGGGCTCCCGCCCCTCTGCTCCACAGGAGGAGCAGCACGCCCAGTGGACGCGGCGAGCTCTGCATCTAACTCTGACACCCACGAATCTGGGACCCAGTTGCTCAACCCTGAGCCCCAGCATCCTCCTCAGTAAAACCTGATGATGAGACTAAGGGATGCAGACAGTCTGCAGGGCACATGTGGTGGCGCCCAGGCCAGCCCCCCAGATGGGCGCTGAGACCATGCCCAAGGACAGAGTCAAGGACAGATGGGGAATCCACAGTTCTAACAAGCTCCTGGGGACCCACATGCACAACCAGCTTTGGGAACCTCCGGCATGCAGCACAGGGGAGGCCTTCAATCATTTGGGCCCCACCCCACTTTCCTAAAAGCCTGGTCCCTGGGGTTTTAGAGCAGCAGTGCTGAGCATCCGAGTGGGTGCCCACCCCGCCCCATCCCTTAACTGACTTCTGGCATGGAGGGCAGGGCAGATGGGACCCTTCTACAGCAGGTGGGAGCACTTCCTGTGAGTGGCTGCACTGATGTCCTCATCCTGTGTCTCATTTTCCCATCTGCTAAACAGAGGCTGTACTGCCTGCCTCACTGGGAAGTTGGGAGAATGAAATGTTTTTAGAAAGCAGGGGAAAAAATAAAAGCTACACACAAATGCCAAGAACTGCTGTAGCCCTGATCCTCAGTCCTGGCAGCCCAAGCCTCTCATCCCAGCTCTCGTGACTTCACACTTGGCCCAATCGAGCCCTGGGCTCGGGAGGAAGAGTACAAAACATTCCCCATCTGCTATGAGGCAACAGCTTTGGAAACAATCGGGTCTGGGAGAGATGGGGAACACAGGGCAGCAGGCGAGATGCGGGGACCCATACAAGCTCAGCCTCCCCTCTTCTCTGGGCAACCTTCAGACCTTCCTTGGGTGGCCAAGGCACGTCTCAACCTGTGCCAGCCTCCTCTGGGATGCAAGTGCAGGCGGACAAGAGACTCGGCATCTATCCCAGCTCGTATGTGACAAGACTAGTTCTCCCCGACCTTCCCTCTCTGGGTCTCAATTTTTTTATTGCAAAGGGATGACTGACATCCACATGCTCCCGTACAGCTCCCAGGCCCCCCTGGAGCTTAGGCTGCACATGTGAGGGCCTTCAGGCTCTGGGTCTAACTGGCCTGGGTACCTGGTGGCAGGTGATAAGAAGGGCCGTCCAAACAAAGAAACCAGAGATGGCCTGCGCGGCAGTTGTCATCAGGAACACAGGCTGCTCCATGGCAGTGGGGCTGCCCTCAGGGGTCACAGCGGCGCTGGGTGAGGCTGCTGCAGTCGTGGGCGACACTGGATCCGGGGCCAGTGCGGCCCCCCTCACCGTCATGGTGCCGGGCAGCAGGTGGCTCCCTGAGAGAAACCCTTGGAATAACCGACAAGCTGGCCTAGAGAAAGAAAACTGCAATTTTAGTCTTCTTCCAGGGCAAGTGGCAACGCTGAAAAAAATCTTCCAGGTTTCTACATTCACCTTCAGATGTAACCAGACTGACCACATGTGACCCTGGCCCCAGCCATCATGCTGGTCCCACCTGCTACCGGGTCTCCCCTGGATGAAGGAAACAGGCTCCTGACCAGTGTCCCTGCTTCTGTCTTTGCCCGTTGTCCAGTCCTCACACAAATGTTAGACAGACCCGGTCCCTCCTCAGCTTAAAACTCTCCAACAGTGCCCATCCCCTTTGAAGTATAAGCCGCTCTCCTTACAATGGCCCACAAGACTGCCCCATGGGTTCTCCAGGGCTTGCTTATCTCACCTCCTACAATTCCCACCCCAGGTTGCCACTCCAGCCACTCCTGCTGCTGCTCCCTGAACATGCCAAGCCTACTCCTGCTGCAGGGCCTTTGCACTGGCTTTCTCTGCCCTAACCACCTGCTCAGACACAGCAACACCACTCCCACCCCAGGTGCTCCTGACCCCTTTGCCTTATTTTCTCCAGAACATGTAATACCATCTGACTCCCTCTGACAAACTGTATATTGACTCACATGCTTGTTAACTGTCTGCCTCCTTCACCAGTACACAAGCTCCCTGAGGGCAGGGGCTCTGCCCTGCTCACAACTGCATCTTCAGCACTTGGAACAGTGCTGGGTACACGGCAGGTGTTCGGTAAATACCTGCTGCACCCACACACCTTTACACTTCCCAATCTAACAATCTGCCTTCTCAAAGGAGAGCGCACCTTTCCTTTGATATTCCTCCCCAGTTTCCCTAACAGCTGACACCCTTTCCTCACCATCCAGCTGAACTATATTATGGAGACTTTGTGGCCTCTCTCCACCTTGCATGCCTTCGAACCATTCATCTTTTGATCTGACTCATGCATCACTCTTCCTAAAAGCCTGCCATGCACTTTCTCCCATCAGATACTTCTATCCATTTTACATACCTCTGTTGTATGTAACATGCAGTTCTGTCACTTGCTCACATGCTTATCCTAGGACTGTCTACCCCTAAGGCAAGATCACATTTCCGTCTTGAATCCCTGGCACCAAACTCAACCAAGGCCATTTACAACATTTACTTTATTATTTACTGATTCTCATTCCTTATTTCAAACAAAATTTGAGGTATGTCACAGAAAAGCAAAGAATTGAGTTGAGGAAATTAGCACAAAGGAAGATTCCAGGTGGGAAAATGGGGTTGGGAGCATGTCAGGCACAGGATGGCACCCCAGCATCCAGTCCGGTTAACCCCAGGTGGGCTCTCGAGTCAGCCCCACACTTCCTAGCGGCAGCTTCAGTACCTGTGGTAACAAACTAATGACTTCACATTGAAAAGTAACCCAGACGTTGCCCAAGGGAGAGCTGCTGTCAGGGTCCTCGCACATTTGCAAATGGGGACCGATGCCAGTTGGAGGCTAGAACCACTTTCAAAGGTTGGCCGCTCCTGTACCCATGGACATTTGAGCCCCACAGCCATGACAGGTGTCCCTTTCAGTGCGCCACCTTTGACAGGCTGATCAGTGACATCCTGGGGTGGCCAAGCCCCCTGCAGCAGCCTAGGAGCAATTTGACTGACCAGACGGACATCGGACTGCAAAGCAGATGGCCTGGAGCAGTGGAAGGAGCTCTGGCTGGAGCACAAGGCCCAGCGCCTCCACCAGCCAGCCCTGTATCCCCACACATTCACTAGGCCCCAACCTGACCATCTCGGTCTCAACCCTGAGGCAGCCCAGATGACAGCACAGAGCCCCTTCCAAGTCCAGCCAACTGCTCAGCCAGAACATACTGTCACCAACAGAGGTTTCCCTGGGCCTTCCCAGGGTGCACCTAGGCCACAGCCTGACCCTGGGGAAAGAGGTACTCCACCCTCTGTCTCCCCACACTCCCAGCTTTGCCCCTCCTATGGCTCCAGCATCCTCTGCCCCCACCTGCACCCTGTCTGCTCTTGGCTAGAAGCTTTTACCCTAGGAGGGCCCTATACATTTGTTTTCCTATAAAAACAAGTGATCTCTAACACCCGACCAAGAGATGAATCTAAATTAAAACTCAGAAGTGGAGAAGGCACCTATATAAAGAAAATCAAAAGTGGAGACGGTGTCTATATAAAGACCGGTGGCAAGCTTTGAAAGAGAAACAGTGACAAATGTAAGAATAGCTCCTGTAAGTATGGTTGCAAAATTAGAAACTGGTGCCAGAAACATTTCTTTACAAAGGAGATTTGGGTTGTAAATCATCTTTGTCTATCATCCCAAATTAAATGAATAAATACAGGGAATGGGGGCGGGAATGGTACCCAGAGGAAGTACAAATACTCTTAAATTTTTACCTTCTGAGAGAGTCAAAGGTGTGTCAAAGGCTGTTTCTGTTCTCCACTAAAGGCAGCAACGGAGCTCAGCCACTGGCCACAGGGAGGGGACACTGGTCAGCAGCACCACTTGGCACATGGAAACTGCACCAAGGCCCCGGCCCAGCTTGTTCCTGGGGCTTTGCTCATGCCCATTCAAATGGCCCTCTGTCAACCTGAGTGACGCTCACCACTCAGGATTCTCCCACATGCCTCATGCACGTCATTTAGTTGACAAGAAAGCCACTCAGAGAAGGTGCCCCCAAATCAGAGCCAGGACTCAAACCCTGGGCCTATTTGTCTCTCTTGCTGAGTGGGGGCCCCGCATGAGGCTGCCCCTCCCATTCCACAGCCTCCCTCCAGACACAGGTTGCCGCTGAAACTCCCGCTGCACAAAGGGGATGAAGGTCCTACACAGGGAGGGGAGACTGCCACAGGGCTGGGAATGCTTTTGCAGCCAGACCCACGCTTGCCACGTTTCTGCGCAGCCACCTGTGGTTTACAAACCATTTACCTTACTCTCAGACAGCCCTCATGGTTTACAAAACTATCTTCTCAAACAGCATTTCATGTTTTTTTCACAGCAACTTTGAAGTAAGTGAGCTGTATTATCTACATCCTAGAGATGAGGAAAATGGTGCGGAACGTGGGTTTTACAGCTCCCATAGCCTTCTGTAGCACCAAATGACTGGAGGGTTTTCATAATGTCCCCCCAAAATACTTGAAGCAATATTCTGACTCACAGAAGTATGGCCCCGGCACCCAAGAGGGACAAGTAATGGTGGCTCATCTAAGGCTGCTGATCCCGGACCTGGCAGCACACAACACTAGACCCTGCTGACTGTTCACTCTGTTTGCCGGTGGGGGTGGGCAGGGGGCCCCACCCAGTCACTCAGGGCAGGCACCCACCTGGGAAGATCTCATGCCTTCCCAGGTCCACAAGGGGGAAAGACGTTGGCCTGGCACACCCGGGACCTCAGAGGAGCAAGGCAGTGCCAGCTGGTGAAGCTGCTTTGCTCCCCTGGGGAAAGGGGCTCAGGGTAGGGCCTCCATGGCCCCCCTCTCCCAAGGCAGCCCATGCACCCTGATGCAGGGGGGGATGCACAGGATGGCACCCAGATGCTCTGGTGGGGCCCTTTTATTTTCTTAATGGTCCAAATGTTCAGCTTCTGCAGAGATGTGGCAGAGGGCCCTGAGGGAAGACACTGGGCCCGGATTTCCACGCCCTATCCTGAGGCTGCAGGATGCTGTGCTGGGCATGGGAAGACCCACTCACAGCTCCCCCACACCCCTGCTCTACGCAACCGTGGTAACCTGGAGGCCTTAGCCTGTTGCACTGCACGGAAGGTGCATGCCCAGCACTGAGAGCTGGACGCAGCGACAACTGCCTTGGCCAAGCCTGGGGAGAGGGTCAGGGAAGGCATCAAAATGTCAGAGACCATGGGGCAGATTGTGCCTTTGAGTAGCATGGCCGAGCTTCAGCTTTAAGTCACTGAACAGGATTCTGGCCGGACTCTACCACCTGCTAGTTTGGGCAGATGACTTCATCTCCCAAAGCCTCAGTTTCCCCATCCATAACATTTCAAGGTAACTAGTAATTGATGAGACTGTTCTACTTTACAGGAGTTCCATTAATAAACACAGACAGAATAATAAAGTAACAAATGACCATTTTGCAACTCCTAATACAAATAGTGGACACAGCTATGGGTCAGCAATGGATGACAACACTGGCAGGTGAAAAGCCTGACAGGAACTCAGTAAGGGACAGGTCAGGCAGCACCCTCTGAACCTAGTCAAAATCAACATCACTGTAATGGGACAGCCGGAGTCTTGACCCTCCCGATGGAACACACAGGAAGCACGTGGCACCACCCTTGCCCAAGAAGCAAAAGGAGCGCAAAACAAGCCTCCAGAACTCCCACAAGTCTCCAGGAAGCAGAGAGCAGCAAAGCCGATTAGACGGCACCACGAGGAAGCAGCCAAGCCCAGACCACAGGACAGTCGACAGGACAAATGACCTAGTTTCTCCAGCAAATTAGCGGCTTATAAACAAAGGTGGTTGAGGGGCTGCTGTAGAAGAGACTCCAGACACTTAACTAAATGCAACATGTGGACGTTGCTGGCTCTTGATGCTAACAAATCAACAATTAAATGACATCTTTGACATAGAGAACACACAGGAATTCTTGCCAATTTTGTTAGGTACAACAATGGCATGGTGGGTACATAAAAATAAAAGTCTTTATTAATGCAGGAAGCATAATCTTTTTAAAAAACAGTTCTAGAACAACTGGACATCCAGAGGCCAAAAAAAATGAACTTTAACCTAAGTCCTTATACCATATACAAAAATTAATTCAAAACAGATCACAGATTTAAATGTAAACTGTAGGACTATATAAAACTTTTAGAAGATACATATCCAACAAAAACCGCAAGAAGGCTCAAAGCCCACCAGTAAAACAATTATCAATTAGAAAATGGGCAAAAGACATGGGCATTTCACTGAAGAAGGATATATAGCCAGGAAATGAATAAAAAGCTGTTCAACAACATTAACAACTGGGGAAATGTAAACTAAAACTACAATGAGGTATC